TTTCTGAACATGAGGAACATGCTTGCATTCATTTCTGATATCTTTTAGAGCAGCTTCACTCTTCTTCGCTCATCTGATGATCTGTTATAATTAGCTTGTTGTTACGCTCAATTAACTCCATCTAATGTTCTTCTCTGTCTGTGGAGCCCTTAATAAACATCCATCTCCTGTTTCCATTTCCTTATCTGCCCATGGCCCCTGAAGGGACCGGTCTGAATGTCCGCTAATGCGAATGCGTGCTGCTCCTGGGCGAACTCTATGAGCTAAACACCGTAGCATGCTAGAATGCACTTCAGGACAGCAAAGCTCCCTCTATAATTGGCCCTGTGAATCACCAAGCACCATCCTATCCTTTTAGGCTACTCTGGACCGCTGCGAGAGATCCCTCGAGAGAAATTCAACGCCACGGTGATCCCGAAGTCTTATTGTTCACCGTGGCAGGAAGCCCTGGGAGAAAATGAAGAGCTTCTGTCTTCACTCAACACTCAGATAGCGGAACCTCCACAGAAACTCCCGCCAGCAAACTACAGGTGCTTTAACAGGTAAGATAGTACCTTTCCGGGAAATCACCGGCACCGTGCGGGCAGCCACTTTAATGTGGAAATTCTGAAATCTCAGAAAAAACAACTTAAATTCCAAATTTCAACTCAGAAACAAAATCTGACATTAACCTTTTTTTTTTCTCAACGGCTCTGACACCAGCTGCAGTGACGCGATGACTTTACCATTTGGCGATTGGCTCTTTTATTTAGAAGGCGGGACTTACTCCGCCATATTGCTCGATGCACTTTCTCCCATTCATAAGTAATATGATGACATTGGTATATCTAAAGTCTTTGATTATACTACAATAAAATAACAAAAATTGAAATAAGGTCACGTTTGTACACCGCAAAAACTCAAAATTTCAGTCCAACAACAAGTAACAAATACTATGTTAGACATAATTCTGTGAAATATATATATTTCTGTCATGACAACTCTCAGAGGGATTGGCATGGTCCAGAACTCTGTATTTCAGCTCATAACATGGATTTCAACACTACTGTATCATTTCCTTTTGTGAAAAAAATAATTGTTAAAATTAACCATTGGATTTTTGGGCATTTGTTTTTGGTTTGTCCAACTCAAACATTTACTGAAGTGACATTCAGATACTTTATTAAGGTTGTATATTTATATACTATTGTGATATTTACAAAGCCACCAAATAATTTTTTTTTACAGTGGAGTGCAATTATTTGATGAAAAAATACAGTAAAAACAGTAATATTGTACAATACTATAATCCAACCTGAATTTTGTAATGAACCGGCATCTTTACATCAGTCTTCAGTGTCACATGAAACATTTCTCATGATTATCAATGTTTCCTTCAAAAGATCACCATGACCTTTAAAGCATGGCAAATACAAATGACTTGCAAATGATGAGTTCTTTAAAAGCGCTTAGATGTTACCTTGGTTTTTAGGTGAACTGGTGCAAAAGACTGCAGAAAAAGCTGCATAGCTCCAGCTAAACGTCTTCTAAATTAATACATGTAAAGAGATTGCGATGGGTAATTTTTTTCACTCAGTTCCTGTTTTGTACATAATACACACGAGATGGTCAATGAACAGATTATTAACTACCCCTAAAATTAAATGGAAATTAGAGGTTAATTTTTTTTCATAGCCCTAACACTAAACATAACCTTAAAATATAATAAGATTATATGAATGTTGTCAATGACCAACAAAGATGTTCCAGGAACATTCTGATTAAAAACCTTCATTTGGACTGCTGAAACGAAAACGAAAGAGTTGCACCAAACGGTTCATCGATGCATCACAATAACGTGACACAATATACTGCGGCCCATGTAGGGTTGGGCCATCCGAGTTGGTTTGGGATTCCCCTGTTACAGTTTCTTTATTTGGGAGGGATTAAGTCTTCATTCTCTGCGGTACCAGAAAACTGAGGCAAAACACGATATGAGAAACAGCCTTGAGGGTCACCAAGAGGTTTTGGCACATTAGCTTGATGCGTGCTGATGGTGTGCCTTAAAAAGACCCATCAAGACTAATCCACACTATCAAATTATGAAGTCCACTTAAGAGAGCTGCAATGTTTCCACTGCGTCTTCCCATTTGAAACGGGATCCACAGAGGAGCGAATGACTGAGAAACTATTTAAACGCACCGCCGACTTCTCCTGTCACGAATTTCAGAGCCTCAAGACACACTGCGTATACAGAAGATCAAATTACTGAGATACAAACTAAAATTGCGTCACCATGTGGAGTCAAATCCAGAAGCAAGAATATTTTGAGTTTGCATGACTGGGTCCATTAAGTGACTTATAGTTTTTAAACTGAACAAAATTACATGCAGTTTCTTGAAACTGAAAGTTACTGGTAGTACTCACTGAATTGAGATTATTGTTAACCAAAATTATAAAAAATTAATAAAAAAAAATTAATTGAAATAAAGCTGGAAAAAAATTTAATATAAATATTATATGAAAAACCTAAATTAAAATGAGAAATGTTACCTTGGAAACAAACTGAAATAAGTTGAAGTATTAAAATTAATAATTGTAATAAAACAATTACTAATTGTAAATAAAACCTGAAATTTAACTAAAACTGAAATTAAACCTAAATACAATAGTAATATAAAAAAACAATAATAAAAATGATGTGTTTAAGTTGAAGCAATAAAATGACTAATTGTAAATAAAAGCTAAAATTTAACTAAAACTGAAGTAAAAATCAATTAAACATAAAATAGTATAAAATAATAGTAATAAAAAAGAGAACACAAAAAATGACAAAAGCACATAAAATGACAAAAAAAATTTAAATTCAAATGAAAACTGAAAATATAAAAACTAAATCAAAATATCAATGAAAACTATAGTAATAACAAATAATAATAAATATAAATATTACAATAACACTGCATTAAATACTCAGAAATAAGCCACGTTATGGAGGGGAATGGTTTGTGAATGCCATTTCATGTTGATTTTCTGAGAGAGCACTTGTAGATTTAGCTCCACTCTTCTTCATGTGGTTTTTATTTTAGAGCCGCGGTGCCATTTGGAGGTCCTGTGCGCAGTCAGAGGGTGATTCCTGTTATTGGGTTTGAAGCTCTGGAGACTCCAAGTCTTTCTAGCTTGACCTTGGCCACCATGTCCAAACGACGCAACTTCAACAGAGCCCCGCGGGGATGGGGTGTCGGATACTCGCCCGAGTCAAATGACCTGTGAGCTCGGCGCTGATCCACACCTGTAACATTAGAGGGAAAAGACTGTCGCGCCGTAAAGACCTGCGCTTTGCACTTTCAGGCCGTCCCATTATGTTCCCTGCAGTTGAAAGGCCAGAGGAGAGCAGCTGGGAGTTTAGATTTACATCGTTTGAAAACCAAATGAAACATCAGGATAAAGATGATCAGGATGAGGAGATGGTTTTAGCTTAGTACTGGATGAAAGGAGTCTCGGTTGCTCTCCTAAACCGTATAGTTCAGCCAAAAATGACAATGACACAGTGAATGGGTGCCGTCAGATTGAGAGTCCAAACAGCTGATAAAAACATCACAATAATCCACAAGTAATCTACACGACTACAGTCCATCAGTTAACATCTTGTGAAGTGAAAAGCTGTGTGTTTGTGAGAAACAAATCCATCAAGACATTTTTAACTTCAAACTGTTGCGTCTGGCTAAAATACGAGTCCTCTATCCATAATCTTGCTTTCTCAAGTGAAAAAGTGGCCTCATTTGAATCAGGTGAGAAATATCATCAAGCACCGTTTACAAGCCAAAAAGGTCCAAAACAGTTCTAAACAAATATGTTGGTGGATTTTGATGTGAGAGGACAACAGGAGATGGACTTTTTCACTGGAGGAAGCGTTATTATGGATTTTGATTAGAAGCAATGGTTTAAAGTTAAAACACCTTAATGATGGATTTGTTTCAAACACAAAGCTTTTCACTTCACAAGACATTAATTGATGGACTGGAGTGGTGTGGATTACTTGTGGATTATTGTGATGTTTTTATCAGCTGTTTGGACTCTCATTCTGACGGCACCCATTCACTGCAGAGGATCCACTGGTGAGCAAGTGATGTAATGCTACATTTCTCCAAATCTGTTCCCATGAACGAACAAACTCATCTATATCTTGGATGGCCTGAGGGTGAGTAGATTTTCAGCAAATTTTCATTTTTGGATGAACTATTCCTTTAACACAGCTATATAATCAGACATCAGTCTACATCTTATAATTGTTCATAATAACCTCTGGCATTTCATAATTGTAGACATGTAATATGCAAATAAATGGTGTTCACGATAGTGTTTCAAAGTGTGCAACAGGGGCCCCTAAAATGTATTTAGACACTTTAGGCATATGGAAAATGTGCGTTTGATATTGCATTAGATGACTAAATATCAAATATCTATTGTTTTCACACTGAACTCTTTTTGTCAAATGTGTTTGTGTATCTTTCTTAAAATAAATGGCACCTGCTTTGATATTTTGTATCAAATGCAAAAGTGTCCAAATACTTTTTGGGCCGCTGTGTTTCTTAAAACCAGAGCAGACGGTACATTTAATGATGGCTAGTTTAATGCTCACAAAAGAAAATGGTAACGGTAGGCTCTTTCAATAAAAGGTACTTGTTGTTTTTGAATTCCTTTTTTCATGTTACAACAGAAAAGCACTGAACTGACAGTTCATTAAAAACTGCTTCAGAGCACAATGAAAAACAGAGAAATATCAGAAAACGGCATGGGAAAAAAAATATATGTTTTACTTTAAAGAGACAAGACAGTGGCTACGCAAATATCTCTAATTAAAAAAAAAAAAAACATTTTTGAATATAGTTGCATCCTTTTAATAGACACTATATTTAAGTATGTTAAATCTCTAGATGTAAGAGTGAATGGTGTGGGTGGGTGAATCTCACAAAAACTGTACAAAAACAATTCAAATTAAGCTATTTTTTTCACAAAAAGAAAATGAAGCCTATTTTAGCACCATAAACATTTGCACGAATTAAGAATTAATTATCTCCCCAAATTGTCAGCAATCTACCGTAATGCAACAACTGACTCATTATGCTTACTTTAATGAGTAAAAATGATTTTTTGCACAACTGTAATTACAATTTGGGGGGAAATGGGTTAAATTTTTCATGTCAAACTGCAAAAAGTCCTAAACGGCCCTTCGTTTTCAATGTAAACTCAAGTTAGCGTGAGATGTATTGTCTCAACAAAAAGCCCACAGATTTAGCACGATGATGTTTTAAACAAGGCGGCTTATGATAACGAGGAGGCAGAGTGTGTGTCTGGCGTAAGATGGGTCAACTTTATAACAAGGGCCTATTTGTTGGTAAGCTGTGTCTGTATATATGATGTGACTGAGGCATGATGATGTGGAACTGCACTTACAATAGTAACCCCAATCACATGACCATACCGTAGTGTACCAGTCAATCACTCTGTATGACGTCACAGATCAGACTCCACCCTCTGATGACTTCACCTTCATAGATCATTAACCCACAGCAGTGAGAGAATCTTTACTAGTTCACATGACGAGTCGATCAATCGCTGTGGCGGATGGCAGCATGCGCACCCATGCGCTGAGGATCCTGGGAAGGATAATGGATGTGGCCTGGAGGTCTCAAAGCCATCGGAGGAGGTGGAGGAGGGCCCATGGGGTGGAACATGGGCGCTCCAAAACCTGAAACCACAAGCAGACAGTATTTATATATATTACTTAAGAGCTTCTAATTATTAATTTTTTTATTTCAAATTTTAGTTTAGGTTTTAGTTATTTGTCATTTAGTTATTAGGTTTAGTGCTTTTGTCATTTGTATTAGTTATTTTTTAGCTTTAGTTTGCTTTTATTTTAGTATTTAATAAGTGTAATAAACAGATTTTTTTATTTCAGTTTTAATAATTTTATTATGTGCTGTTGATATTTTTATTAGTTTTTTAATATTTCTATTTAGCCTCAGTTCTTTTAATATGAATATATGTAATATTAATACATTTAAAATTAATATTATACATGTATGTATTTCATTTTTAGATTGAGATTTAGTAATTATATGTGCTTTTCTCATACTTATTTTAACATTTCTATTTAGCTTTATTTTTATTTCAGTTTTAATAACTGAATAAATGGACATTTATTTTTATTTTAGTTTTAGTAATTTTATTATGTGCTTTTGCCATTTTTATTAAGTTTTTTATATTTCTATAGCTGTAATTAATTTTTATTTCAGTTTTAGTCATTTTATTTGATGTGAAAACCACCAGCTGAAACACTAGAGACATGCAGGGGTGAGTTGAGCTGAAGGGTGCACCTGGTGGCAGTGGGTTTGAGAGTCCGGGTGGAGGTGGCAGACTGATGTTCATGAGCGCAGGAGAGCTGCTGGGGTCCAGGTTAAAGTAGTTAGCAGGTGCTTCCTCTTCCAGAGCAGGGGGTGGCGGTAGAGCTGCAATATACACATAATATAATCAGGTAACACTTTCTATGAAGCCCGTATTTATAATACATTACAAGGGTATTCTTAAGGCATTAAAATGAATGCATAATGTATTATAAAAAACCTTATAATATGTTGTATCATCTCATGATAAATCATAACAACAGTTTTAATGCATTATAATATTTACTTATTTGTGGTTATAGCTTTTAAGAGTATGATGATTTATAATACACAATGAACACAATGCATCCACTTAATTTACAATGGATTATATTTCCCATAGTTATAATGTATTATGAGTCTCATATGTTGCCATCGTTAACTTGTTACTTTACTTAAAGCAGACAAAGACTGATCAGATGAATGTGTAATATGGCACATTTGCTTTTAACCATATTTAATATAATATCAGTAAGATAGTAAGATGCCGTGCAGATCTTAAATGTGACCCTGGAGCACAAAACCAGTCTTAAGTCGCTGGGCACTTAAGACTGGTTTAAGACATAAATAATGTCAAGATATGAGACTTCTAATCCACTATAAATTAAGTGGATTTAAAATTGTGTTCATTGCGTGTTATAAATAATCATACTTATAAAATTTATAACCACAAATAAGTAAGTTTTAAAAAGTATTATAATTGTTGTTATGATTATTTATTAGATGAAACAACATTTTATAAAAAAATGTATAATGCATTATGCATTCATTATAATGCCTTAAGAATACACTTATAATGTGTTATAAATACATGCTTCATAAAAAGTGTTACCTATAATCACATAGCCTTGACTTTCAAAACCTTGTTGCAGTGATTTTACCATGCTTAAGGGGTGGTGTTAGTCACAATGCAAAGTAACAGCAATATGACAAAAGACAGCGATGTTGAAAAAATGCATCTAATTATAATAATATTGTCAATAAATAACTTTTTTGCAAGCTAATATTGTTCATTATCATAATTGAGTGATTCATATGAAAATAATGTCTGGTTCATAAAATAAAATAATTCTAATAATTTTTTGGCGTGCAATACAACCCAGGCATTGTTTTGTTTGTTTAATTAAAATAATTAAACTAAACTGAACCAAACTGAAAAATAAAATAAAATAAAAAACACAAGACATATTTAATACAGTAATCCAGTAATGCCAGTAATCCACACACACAACATACTTGTAGGGAGACCAGGTACTGGTTCTAGTCCGGTGCCCATCTCATCGAACCCGTCCTTGACATCCGTCCCTTTAGCGGCCTGTGATCGGCCCCACTTCACCGCCAGCCTGCGGCCGTTAATGATGAGCTTATTGAAGGTCTTCTCTGCTGCGAGCTCTGCTCCCTGTCGCGTGGCGAACTGAATGAACGCACACTGCTGCCGCTGAACCAACGTGATTGTACGGATCTCACCGTACTGGTAGAAATGATTTCTGCGAGAGAAGACGAAGAAAAGACAGGAGGTGTTTTGAATTGATACAAATCAAATACAAGTTTGGAACAGAATAATTGTGCACCAATGACTTCACTTGGCCTCGTTACATTGTATTTTATATCAGTGAGTAGTGTCCATTATCTTGGCAAATTTTTTTTGTTTGTTGCATTTTTAATTCTATTTGTGTAAAAAGTAACTTTTCATTTCTCAAAAAAACTAATCTAGAAAAAATTGTTATAAATTGCAGTAATGCATCTGGTTCATTCAGCATAGTGCACTGCATTGTGGGATCGAGTTTTTCATGACATAATGAGCACAGTATACATAGTCCATACTGCAGAATAGTAAGGAAGTATGATAGTATGTCATAAACATACCCTCTGCTTCGGGGTTATTATACTTAACTAAAACTAAATCCATAAAAAATCTTTCGTTACTTGAAATAAATGTTAACTGAAATAAAATAAAATATAAACAAACTTATTTCAGTCATCCAAATATATATATAATATGCCCAACATGGCTCGTTTGTTTATTGTTCATGTTTAGTGAACTATGTTTAATGTTTCAATAAAATTAACATGATGCAGTAAAATAACTAAAATAAAATTAAATTCAATAAAAAATTTTTTTTTATAAAAATTATATAGACACATTGAACAAAATTACTAAAACTTGAACTAAAATTGAAATAAAAACAAAAAATATAGAAAATAAAAACTTTACATTAACAAAAACTAAACTTTAATAAAATAAACTTTAACTGAATAACAAATTATATATATATATATATTTTTTTTTTTTCTGCCAAGGCAACATTTTCATTAAGTTGAATTTGCTGTACTTAAATAACTACAACTAAAATAACATTACTAAAAATGAATAAAAACTAAAATAAAAAATATACTAAAAATAACAAAAATACAACAAAAAATTACTAAAACTTTAAAATTAAAATTAAACAGAAAATATAAAAATAAAAGCTAATTCAAAATGTTAATAACTATAATAGTACATTAATGTTACTAAAATAACACTATTATACATGAGGAGTTTTTGAATACTTCAGGAACAATATTATTGCCATTTTAAATCTTAAAGTGTGTTTTCAGTATGTTACAGTACTGAAAATACACTTTAAGATTTAAAATGGCAATACTATTGTTCCTGAATCTCTGCTTACCTGAGCTCAGAGTCAGTGAGGCTTTCTCCCAGTCCCCCAATGTATAATGTGGTGATGGACTTGTCCTCGGGCGGGTCCAGTCGAGGCATGCTGGATGATCTCTTCAGAAGTTTATCCGCCACCGGGTCGTTGATGCCATAATAACGATCTTTAATGTTCTGATCGGCCAGAGGATCATCAGGGTCTGTGGGTTTCTCATGCCTGATGGGACATAAATGATTTTAGTGACTTTGGACAGTAACACAACACTGTCATCTGCATTACAGCAGAGTCCCACCATGATTAAGAACATGAATTTAACTTGTTTGTTCTGATCAAAAAGACGCACGTCTAATTAATGTCATGAGCTTTTCGAAAACATATAGAAAAGATAAAATAAAGTAAAAATATAATATGCTATAATAACACTAGGGCTGTCAAAAATAATGCATGAACTTTTGTGATTTATATTTTCTGTTTAACATTCATTCGGAAAAAAATAATAAAATTAAATAATAAAATTAAACAAAAATATTTTATATTTGGGGTGTAATATGCCCAAAATCACCCACTTAAAATAATACTGCATGCCATAAATTTTAT